CAGGCTGGCCTCGAACTCACAGAGATCCGCCTGCCTCTGCCTCCCAAGTGCTGGGATTAAAGGCGTGCGCCACCAACGCCCGGGTGACTTTGCACTCTTACACTCTCAACCAGCATATTCAGAGACACTTAGGCCCACAGTAGATTGCGTCCTTCCTTCTCAGTTCCCTTGCACGTAAACTCAAGTCACAGTGTTACCCTCCTCCATATGCAGGCAAAATAACCAACCGTATATGAAAAAGTGAATAAATAAATAATAGCATGTGTGCTAGGGGATATAGCTCAGGGGTAGTGTGCTTACCCAGCATGCACAAGGCCAACAGTTCTAGACCCTGGACTTGGATTCTCAACACCATTCCAGCATCAAAATCAAATGGGCGTTGGGCAAGAGGACCTCCCAGTGTGGCTGAACCCCCCACAACACTGCATTGACTTCCCTTTTCCACAGATACTGTTGCCAAGCCCTCACCCCGCCATGGCAGGCCAGACCACTGCAGTTTACATTGTCTTTAATCATCATTCTTTATGGCTAATTGGTGCCCATCATGGGCAATTGGTTAAAAATAGGAAGAGGTTGAAAAATAATTTAACATGGGGCATAAATGTGACAGCCGCTGTGTGTCAAGCCATTGATTCTCACTCCGTTTATGTTCGATGAGCGGAGGCAAGCAGCAGGGAAGGCTACACGAAGGGCTGATGACGTAGGCCAGCTGTCAGTTCACCTTGGAGACAGCACTACAGAGCTGTTGCCTCCCCCTGAGCCTTTTAGACCTGCAGACCTTCATGCCCCACCCAGCCCTGCTGAATCAATGTTTATCTTATCAACATGTGTTTAATGAGGTTTTCAACACCTGTTTAGACTACGCCATTAGCAGACCACCTTTTGTGATCTACAAAGTGTTTTGTTTTTTAAGGTAGTAGTTGGGTACAGTGTGCGTGTCTGTAGTCCCAGCTACTCAGGAGGCAAGGCCATAGAAGAGTTTAGGGCCATCTTGAGCAACATAGTAGGACTCTGTCTCTAAAGTTTTTTTGAGACAGAGTCTCCCTGTGCAGCCATGGCTGTCCTGGAACTCACAGAGATCCCCTGCCTCTGCCTCTGAAGTGCTGAGATTAAAGGCGAGCATCACCACTGCCTGGCTTTTAGTGGGGTTTTTAATCTTTTTCACTTTTGAGTCTTTATGTACAGGTGCTGTGGTTCCTTAGATCTGCGGTAAAAGGAGAGCAATAAGCAAGTCCTGAGTGTGGATTGGATATCTATGAAAGGCATTCCAGAAGCTTGACCAGAATCACTAGGGGTGACCCAGCCAGCCACCATACCTCCACCAGTCTCCACTGATGCTCTAGGACTGAGCACAGAGGCTCATCCAAGTCACCGTACCACTCAGAAGGCTGAGGCAGGATATCAAGTGTTCAAGGCCAACCAGAGTGAGGCCATGTCTCAAAAAATTTAAAAAACTAAGGCTAGAGCTGAGGATGTAGCTCGGCTGGTCGAATGTTTGCCTAGCATGAGTGAAATTCTGGACCAATCCCAGCATCACATACACCAAGTGTGGTGGCGCACACCTTTAATCCCATCACTCAGGAGGCAGAGGCAGGTGGATCTCTGTGAGTTGGAAGCCAGCCTGGTCTACAGAGCCAGTTCTAGGACAGCTAAGACTATACAGTGAAACCCTGTCTCCAGGTTGAAAGATAACTCAGGAGGCAGAGGTATGTGGATCTCTTTGAGTTCAGGCCTAGTGCATGGAGCAAAGTTCTAGGCCAGGGAGGGCTCCATAAGTGAGATACAGTCTCAATTCAAATTTGTTTTTTCCTATTTTGTGGTGTTTTGGGTTCAAATTCTGGTGAAGCTTCAATTCTTCCACCCTCAAAAGCCTATGGGACTGGGCATTCATTAGCTAATACCCATGGAGCCAGACTGTTTATATGGGAGGGGGGGGAGGAGTGGAACTCAACTTGTAACAAGATCCCTAAGTACCCGAATTTCATAAACACTTAGTAGCCATTTTATTTTGTTTTGTTTTCGAGACAGGGTTTCTCTGTGGCCTTGGAAGCTGTCCTGGAACTAGCTCTTGTAGACCAGGCTGGCCTTGAACTCATAAGAGATCTGCCTGCCTCTGCCATCCAAGTGCTGGGTATTAAAGGTGTGCACCAACACCTGTCACTTAGTAGCTATTAAGAGTATTAAAACTTGCTGGGTGGTGGTGGCGCACGCCTTTAATCCCAGCACTCGGGAGGCAGAGGCAGGCAGATCTCTGTGAGTTCGAGGCCAGCCTGGTCTACAAGAGCTAGTTCCAGGACAGCCTCCAAAGCCTCAGAGAAACCCTGTCTCGAAAAACCAAAAAAAAAAAAAAAAAAAGACAACCTGTATTTTATACTAATGCCACAAGGGGACACTGCTGAGACAGATGAACAAGCAAGATGGTCAATTTAGTTTGTTTGTTTGTTTTTTTTTTTTTGGTTTTTCGAGACAGGGTTTCTCTGTGGCTTTGGAGGCTGTCCTGGAACTAGCTCTTGTAGACCAGGCTGGCCTCGAACTCACAGAGATCCGCCTGCCTCTGCCTCCCGAGTGCTTTTTTTTTGGTTTTTTTGAAATAGGGTTTCTCTGTGGCTTTGGAGGCTGTCCTGGAACTAGCTCTTATAGACCAGGCTTGTCTCGAACTCAACGAGATCCACCTGCCTCTGCCTCCCGAGTGCTGGGATTAAAGGTGTGGGCCACCACCACCCGGTGATTTTAGTCATTTTTGTGGATTCCTGTGCAATTTTAGTTGGCTTTTTTTTTCTGTTGTTTTTTGTTATTGAAACTTGTGTTGTGTTTCAGGAATGCTAGGTAAGTGCCCTATCTACCTTGTTTCCCCAGTTTTTTTCTTGTTTTTGTTTTTGGAGATAGCATTTCTCTGTAGCTTTGGAGCCTGTTCTGGAAGTTACTCTGTAGACCAGGCTGGCCTTGAACTCAGAGATCCACCTGCCTCTGTCTTCCCATGGTGCTGGGATTAAAGGGGTGCGCCAGTCACCACCACCCAGCTTAATCTTTTAAATTTTGCAAAGTTACTTTAGACCCCAGGCAGACCTTGAACTTGTGATCTGTTTGCCTCAGCCTAAGAAGCTGAGATCACAGACGTGTACCACCAGGCCTGGTTTCCATTTTAAGCATGTAAGAAGCAGACTAGCAGTAAATACTTGCATGTGTTTTTTCATGTGCTGGAACACGACTTTGCATTTTTGACAGAATAAACAAAATTGAGAACTTGACACATCATTTGTAAGCATTTCCAGAAGCTGTTTGTTAGTCAGGTATGGTGGTGCACTTTATTCCTAGCACTAAGAAGTCAGAGGCAGGTTTATCTGATCTTGAGGCCAGTCTGGTCTATGTAAAGAGTTCCAGGACAGCCAGGGCTAGTTTCTCAGAAAAACTGTAGGGCATGGCACTTGTGGTAAGAGGTCAACTTGTGGAGGTCAGTTTTGCCAAGTCACCTCTTTTAGGAAGTCGTCCTCCTGAGACGGGAGTGTAGACACCTGAGTCCTCTTGGCCAAGCCCTTTCATTCCCTGTCAAGCTCCCACCACAGCATACTGCATACACCAAAGACTTGACTATCATGAATGTATGGACCACAGGACAGAAATATACTCACAAAACGCTGACCCAGGGCCCCCAGTTTTAAGTAGTATCCTGCAGTTGGCTTCACAGAGAGGTATACGGAAATCAGAGGGCAACCTTTGAGAATCCAGTTCTCTACCATACAGGTCCCCATGACTGAATTCACTACAAATCGGGAAAAGTCCTTTGTAGTTTGAGATGTAATGTTTACTTAGGAAGCAAGGGCCCTGGTTCACATCACCAATATGTAGGAATCAGTCACTCCACCTACTGGATTGTTTTTAGGGTTGATCAAGTCCTTCAGCTCTTTCAAATAATGCCATCATACTAGTACCAAGTATTTTTTGGCGGCAGCTTGTTTTAGCAAAGCCCTTGGTTTGGAACTGGCGCAGGCTCGTGTTTCTTCCAAACCAGAAGCCGTTCAACTAAATTTCACCTTTACCTACACAAACCGGCCAGCAAAAGATCCTGTTGGAAAAGCCATCTCTTGGAGGCAGTAACCTTCAGATTGTGAAGGTGTTTCATTAGGAATACATCACCTTTACCAGCAGAGAACAATCTCTCAAGGTGGACCAGTATGGTCCACATAATCCCTTCCTGCCAGCCAAGGTGACATACAACCTGAACTCGAGCACATCATTCTAACGTGTTACAAACTCCTCCCACAGCTAGGAAAGCCCAACAACTACTGTCACTCCAGTTGTTTACAGTGCCTTGTCAGCTACAGAACACTTTCCATGAGGCTGACAAATGGGAAGGCATACCTTTGGTTAAATGCTTTCCAGCAGAACCCATCTTGTGATCATTTTTTGCAAGTTTGACTCAACAAGACATAAGGTATTTCTTAAAACAAGTTTTATTTAAATAAGGGTTTAAATACATTAAATAACATTAAAACTGAAAGGAAAAAGAAAACCAAAAGCCAGTTTGTTCTTTCACATGGCACTGGGCAGCTGCTACCATTAAGTTGAAACCCTTACAGCTAGCCACATGACTGCTCCACTGTTTGGTATTTGTTCCCTTGTCATAAGTTTAATTGATACTAGGCTGGCCTCACCCTCCAGTTGTTTCTACATCCCTTGGCTAGGGTGTGGTGGTCAGCCAGATGTCCATGACCTGTGGAAAGGTGGCCCTTTCTGAATTCTGCCCATCTGGCCAGACACCAGGGGTGCCTGCCAGACTCCCTATCGCTGTGATGTTATCCATTCTCTAGCTCATCCGGTGACATTCTCCTAGGGCAGGGGACTCTGCAGAGGGAGAGCTGAGGGGCTTCTGGGTAGACATAGCTTATGAACTTGGGGCTCTGGGCTTGGCTGAAACATTGTTATTGCTTTGTTTCAGGCTGAACCCTGCCTGGGCTTTCTGCTTGAGCTGTTTAAATGAGGGACTTCAAGACTAGACAGCATGGCTCTTTTCAGTTTATTGCATGAAGGAGTTACACTAGTCCAAGTTAAAAACGGACCCCAAATGGTTACATTATACAAGCTGTGAGGTTTTTAAACTTGTGACAAGGGACAGGAGGGAAATTCTACTCATTGCAAGGAAATCCTCACTTAAGCTTCTGAGAGTCACAAGCACTTAAAACCCATGAACCTTCAGCTGGTCGTCCTTAGCCAGTCCAATCTGCAGAGAGAAAAGGACAGGAGTCAAGTCTGTGAACGACACCAATCACCAGTCTCCCACTACACCAGACTAGAGGAATTCCAGGAAGGAGGGCACACCGTTAAAACCCCAGCTTCCCTTCCGACCGCCTGCAAGACCAGGAATGTGTCTGGAAGGATGGGAGACTACAGAACACAGGGACCCCACACCTTAAAAAGGCTGACAGTATGGAGGAAGGCCCATTCTCACCTCTATCAGGAACTGGCATATGTTCTTGCGCTGGTCACCCTGTAGCTGAATTACTTCTCCATATTCTGGATGCTCAATTACAGTACCATTGCAGGCAAATTTCTGTAAACATAAAGGGCGCAGAATATGAATCCAGGTAACAGCACTCAATCCCTTTTACTTAGCACCCTCTCCCCTTGGGGACAACACGCTTTTTCTCCATCAGACCTACCTTCTTAAACGCCTTCACTAGTTTCTTTTTATCGTAATCATCAGCGATCCCTTGGACAGTGGTAAGGGTCTTCCTGCCGTTTCTCTGTTGAATTCTTATATGGATATAATCCTCAGTGCCAGCAGGAAGCAGGTCATCACCCTTACTTGCATCAGCAAAGGGGTCTGGGGAGAAAAAAAATACAAATGTTCAAAGGTGTGGTTGCCCCTCTGTCGCTTGCACGCTCCTACTGATCTTTTTGGCCGTGCAGACACCGGCATTGCAATCGTCTGGACTCCGGAGTCGTCCTTTGTTGTCCCTCCCAGGTCATGTCAGTCCTAGACCGGCAGGAAGTATGTACTTTCAGCCCTAGGCCGGCCCTCCCTCCGCAGCTGATCACGTGCCGGAGGAGAGCCCTAGCGAGCAAGCAGCGCCCCACCCGGCTGATGCAACCAACCGGAAGCCGGAGCCCGAGGCGGGGCCTCCTCTCCTCCCCACTCCGTGACGACGGTGACGTAGAGGACGTGACGCAGGGGTGGCGGGAGGGGGCGGGTGTGGCCCGAAGAGAGGCAGGAGCCATTAGTAAATGCGCCACCCGAAACGCCGGGCCCGCCCAAGGGGTGACCTCCCACCCGCTCCTTCCGGGCAGCCTCGGAGGCCGACCCCAGGCACAGCTCGGACCTACGGGCCCTTCGGCCCTAGCTAAGGGTCCGCCGCGATCGGCGGTTTCGCCGAGATCCCGCCACCCCCACCCGGGCCCACGACCTTCCCCGGGCTTACCGAAAGAGTGGAGGTTCTGGATAGCGGACATACGATACGATTCCTTTTCCTCGGTGGAAACGGCCTGCGGAAGGCGGCTGCGGGAGAAGGCGGGCAGGGGGGACGGAGCGTCGGGAAGCGAGGGGGCTCGAGGGGGAGGCAGCTGAGTCCTCGGCGGCGGCTCAGTGACTGGGGCGGAGGGGCGGCGCCTGTATTCACTTATATAGCCGCCCCTGTGACGCCAGCGCGCTGCCCTCACGTCCCGACCCCACCCAGGACGTCAAGCTCCCCGGCGCCCGAACGCCGCGGCTTCCTATTGGTCGGGGGGCGGGGTCAAGGCGAGGCGCTTGCGCACTGGATTTGGCTGGGAGATGGGGTTCTGTTGATACAGGGAGGGGCGAGAGGGGGGAGGGAAAGCTTGGTCCGCCAGTGCGCTTGCGCAGTGTGGGCGGTAGTTGTCTGGGTGCCCAAGAAACTGGCGGAGGTTTCGAGCGCGCCTGCGCCTCTGGCACGTTCTACCATCTTGACCCTGTTGGGGTGCTGCTGGTACTAACTCTAAGAAGGTTCTTAGGGTGGGGATCGGTTGGCGTTCTTTAGTGGGGAATTACATGCTGGTCCTCCCAAATTCCACAGATCTCGGCAATGTCATAGCCACCCATTAACTAACTCGCCCTTCTCCCCACCCAGCCACAGAGTTAGCCTTTTAGTCAACATAAAATAACCTAATAAAAAACCCAAACCTTATAGATATCGTTTGGACTAGGATTTTTCCCTCAATATATGTTTTTATTTAAATTAGAAACATGCATGCTTCACATGTCAATCCCAGCTCCCTCTCCCACCCCTCCTCCCTTGACCCTCCTCCAGCCCCCCCCAGCCCCCCACCCAATCCCCACATCATTCCCCAGGGAGGGTGAGGTGGACTAGGATGTTTTAAAATTGGTGACCTAAAGTTGCTTACTTAGATGAATTTTAAGGAAGGAAGTAGTTCCCGAGTTGGGGGTGGGAACCCCAGAGAAATTCAGGCACCAGAGGATGCCATTTGTCCTACAAATCTGTGCTTGAAGTAAAGCCTTTCAAGAGTTTAGGTGAAATTTTTCTTTTTCTTTTTCCTTTCTTTCTCTCTCTTTTTTGGTTTTTCGAGACAGGGTTTCTCTGTATTGTTTTGGAGGCTGTCCTGGAACTCCCCTCTGTAGACCAGGCTGGCCTCGAACTCACTGAGATTCGCCTGCCTCTGCCTCCTGAGTGTTTTGTGTGTGTGTGTGTGATTTTTTTCAAAGTAATTAACCTTTATTTTTATTTTTATTTTCCAGACAGGGTTTCTTTGTGTAGCTCTGGCTGTCCTGTAACTCAGAGATCCGACTGCCTCTGCCTCCCAAATGCTGGGATTAAGGGCGTGCACCACCACTTCGAGGCTAGCAGTTAACCTTTCAATTTCTTTTCTTTTTTTTTTTTTTGTTTTTTTCGAGACAGGGTTTCTTTGTGGCTTTGGAGGCTGTCCTGGAAGTCGCTTGGTAGTCCAGGCTGGTCTCGAACTCAGAGAGATCCGTCTGCCTCTGCCTCCCGAGTGCTGTGATTAAAGGCGTGTGCCACCAACGCCCGGCCTTACTTTTTTTTCAAGACAGGGTTTCACTATATTGTTTTGCAGGCTGTCCTGGAACTCGCTCTGTAGACCAGGCTGGCCTCGAACTGAGATCTGCCTGCCTCTGCCTCCCAAGTGCTGGGATTAAAGGCGTGTGCCACCACCGCCCAGCTCAATTTATTTTAAAACTTAAACCTTCTGGGATGAAAAAGTTAGCTAGACAAGCATTCTGCCACTGAGCTACAGTCCATCTCTCTGTTGGTTTATTGAAATACTCTTTGTGGCAGGGGCGAATGTCAGGGATCTTAGATCCAAAGGTCCTGAGGAGCCAGGGAGATTAGATAAAAGACCAGACAGCCAAGAGTGATGTAACTGGGTTCATGGGGGCTGATAGGAGAACTGGAAGCTGCAGTGGCTGCCAACTACTGTGCCAGACTTGTTCAAATACTCCCCCAAAGGTAGACTTACATAAAAGCTCGTAAAACTATTGCCACCTGCCAGGCCGTGATAGCACAAGCACTCGGGAGGCAGAAGCAGGTGGATCTCTGGGTTCAAGGGCTACACAGAGAAACCTTGTCTCATATATATATATATATATATATATATATATATATATATATATGCGCCAACTGACTAGGTACCATGGTACTCCCTTGTGATCCCAGCTCTTGAGAGAAGGAAGTAAGAGAAAAGAATTCAAGGTTAAACGAGTTCAAGGCTAGACTCAGGATATCCTGTCTCAAAAAAAAAAAAAAAACAGAAAAATAGGCTGGTGTAGTGGAGCATGCCTTTAATCCCAGCGCTGGTGAGGCAGAGGGAGGTGGATCTCTGTGAGTTCAAGATCAGCCTGGTCTACAAAGTGAGTACCAGGATAACCAGGGCCAACCAGTACACAGAGAAATACTGCCTCTAAAAACCAAACCAAAGAAAATAACAACAACAAATAAGTCAGTTTATAAAAAAAAAAGTCAGTTTATGCCCAGATCACCAGTTTCACTGTCTTAAAGGTAAGGGCTAGTAGGACAGACAGAAAATAGACAGAATAATAAGAACGGATTGTGAGAGGTGTTTGGGAGAGATGGAGTCATGTGGAGAGTGACACAGGTCCCGGCTTCTTCACACGGGGTGGTTGGACAAGGCTTGTAAGGAGGTGTTATCTTGACCTGAATCTATGTGGTGGGAAGGAATCTGCTACAAGCCAAGGACAGCTCACCAAATACAACATTCCCCCGGGGAGGAAAAGTTGGGTGGACTTGAAAGGATTTTGTGTGGCTGGGGACTGAACCCACACTCTTGCACATGCTAGGCAAGTGCTCTACAGGACTGCAACTCTAGTCCTGATTTTTTTTTAAAGATATACTTATAGCTGGGTGTTGGTGGCACACACCTTTAATCCTAGCACTTGGGAGGCAGAGGCAGGTGGATCTCTCTGAGTTTGAGGTCAGCCTGGTCTACAGAGTGAGTTCCAGGACAGCTTCCAGAACAATACAGAGAAACCCTCTCAAACCAAAACCAAAACAAACAAACAAACAAACAAAAACTCAAACAAACAAAAACCAAACCTTACTTGGGGGCTGGAGAGGAGACATGAGTCAGTGGTTAAGAGCAGCACTACTGCTCACTGCTCTTTCAGAGAACCCAAGTTCTAGTCCCAGACCCATTATGGTGGCTCACAATGGTCTTCTGGTCTGCACTATACGCATGTGATGTGCAGACATACACGAAATGCCCATATACATAAATATAAAGGTAAGATGGAAAATAATGTATATGAATGTTTTCCCGCATGTGCATGCCTGATGCCTTCAGAGACCAGAAGATTCCCTGAGCTGGAGATACAGACAGTTGTGAGCCACCATGTGGGTACTAGGAATGGACCTGGGTTCTCCATAAGGACGTCAAGTGTTCATAACTGCTGTGCCACCTCTATGGCACCCCTAAAGCTTGTTTTGACTCCTGTTTGCCAAATGATTGATGCACATACCCCCATTCTCCTTACTCTGAGGCAGGATGTCATACGGCCTTGGCTGGCTATTAACTCCTGATTCTTTTGCCTCCATTTCCCAAATGTTCCATGTGCCATGGAGCAAGGGCTCTAAGCAAAGTTAAGGTTAAATAATGTAGTTCCCCTGATGTCGGGAAAGGGAATGCATCTCAATACCATCCATCCGAGTTTGAAAACCTGAGGCCCCAGCCTGCCAGCCTGGAAACCTTTACATTCATGGTGTGGCTCTCCTGGAGTGATCTACCCAGAGTTCACTTCTCTGTGTTGTGTGAGACCAGAGTCTAATCCCCTCCCCCCCATATACATAGTAATTGTATCAGCGCCATTCTTTTGAATAAAGACTACTCATCTCCTGTAGACTCCTCATGCCCATGCCTCCTCTAAATTGTCTCTGCATGTAGGTGTGGGGTCCCCTCCCTTGACCTGTTTATCTCTGAACCACACTTCCATTCCTTTGGGGTTCTCCTGGCTGTAAGTGGGCCTCATTTCATGCCATGCTCCTCACTGGCTCCCAAATTCTCTACTACAGCAGTTCTAGGAAGCTCCCCTAGCTTTCTCAGATGAGAGCTGCCATTTGCATCTGCTCCTCCCTTCCTTGGAATGTGGTCCTCCCTCCTATTTGCATTGACATCTTCCAGGCATCCTTCCAGGCTCACCTGGGATGCCCTTGCTCTGAGAAGATTGTTTGCCTGAATGTCCTCAATGTTGGTGTTATTTATTTTGCTGTTATGAGACAGGGTCTCATGTAAACTAAGCTGGTCTTGAACTCACTATGTAAGAGCGGCCTCGAACTTCTGATCCGCCTGCATCTACCTGGAAAGTGCTGGGATTATAGGCATGCATCATCATGGTACTTATCATGCTGCATTGTGATTACCTGTGTTTTGGACTAGCTACATAATTTGCTAGCCACACTATTAAAAACATGAAGGCCAGGCTGGGTGGTGGTGGCACATGACTTTAGTTCCAGCACTCGGAAGGCTGAGGTAAAAGGATCTCTGTGAGTTTGAGGCCAGCCTAGTCTACAGAGTGAGTTCCAGGACAGGCTCCAAAACTACACACTGAAACCCTATCTTGAAAAACCAAACCAAACCCAAACAAAAAACAAAAAAAACAAACATGAAGGCCTTGGTTCAAAATAGTTAAAAGGTTCAATACAGAGACAGCAGGGCATACATGGAGTGCCCTGCAAGTGAGGAGTATACAGGTCACATGCCCTCATATCTGGCCCTGCTCTTTCTCTTGTATCCCCGGCTAAGGCTGTAAGCTTAAGGAATGACACAGCTTTGTCTGTGAACGGACATGTCGGTATCCATTGTAGATGCTCAGTTACTAGTAATGGTCAACCCCTGGCTACAGGCTGAACCTCTGGCACTCAGAGTCTGGGAACATAGGAGCCAGGAAAACACTTTCCATGGGTCTGAGTCTAGATCTCAAAGGGAACTCCTGGGCTTGACACGATGCAGAGCAGGGAAAGTTGTTCTCCCCAAACTACTTTCCAGTTCTTCTTGTAGGCACTTGGCCAGTTGGAGCTCGTGCCCGTGCCTGGTGTGCTAGTGTGTGGTGCCAGATCTGACTGACCTCTTTGCTTGTAAACAGTTATTGCCACACCCCGCCCCCCCCACATGTT